GTCCAGTGGGAGATTGTTGGATAATTATGGGACCACTTCATAAATATGTACGATATATTATTAAATCCAATTACTATGGTAAGAATATAAATTGTTGATGGACTGATTTATAGAATATTAACTTACCTTGTGGGTTGAGTTCCCGGTTTGACTCAAGATCCTCAAGATCTCTTTCATCTCTCACATTAGGGTATATCTCCATCTATATATACATGTGATGAGGAGCAATCGACACACACGAAAATACACTAAGAAATTCGTATGGTTTATTGCTGGGGGATTTTAGAGGGAGTTCTTGAGATCAACTGGAAAACTCTTCCTAGTCTTCAGATCCGAAAATCATAATGAATCAGGTATGTAATCATTCTTTCATGTTTAAGTTTTCTTTTAATCAAATTCGAGATTAAAGATCCAAGGTTTATACTTCCGCGTTTATGTTTTTGGTTATCAAAATTACCAACACGTAGCCCATACCGGGAAGCGTAAAGGTAAACGGTGGTTATTTTCAATGGCATGCAGCACACCCCTAAGGTTGAAACTTGTGGAATTAGAACTTAAGACCCTCTCCATGATGAAGCGGTTAAATCCAAAGTGATAATCACTAGACAAGGAGTAAAATGCGCATTTTATAAATATAATATTTGTTTGCTTCAAGTTTAATGATTATTATCTAAAACATGTGATGCTACCATGATACCGTCAAAATCAGACTCGGTTCATGCACATCAGTTTTCAGCAATTTCAATTTCTAGTATTAACATGAAATTTAGAAACACGAACATGCAAGAATATCAATATCTTATGTATATTTGTTATTAACTTTCTGATGCATTATTGAAAAAGAACTCATCAAAGTAATAGATTCAGTGGATCATGCACTTTATCAGTTAACATATATATGATTGATTGCAATGTTCCACGGATCTTGAGAAAGCTTAATAATCCACAACATGTCCAATAACATGGGCAGTTAATTCAAGATCCTATATCATTACACCTCATGAAATCAATATCTTGATCCAGAAAAATATATTCCGTAATTACATTATAAATACACGTCGGATTATATAATATGTTTTGGTTTCTTGAGTGAAGTAACTAATTAGGTAATGAACAAAAAGTTCTTAAAGGTGACTTTTATATGGCGGGTGAAATATTCTGGTAGAGACCCATATCCATTCCATTATATGCTATTGGAGCATACATCCACATATCATCGGAGCTCAGCAACTGCAAGATTTCACCAGAAAATAATTAAACATAGGTAAGAAGTATGAAGCACAGAATTTTATAAAATTCGACTTCTAATATTTAATAACTTTTGTAAAAACGATGATTCAGTCTCTACAAATCTTACCTTAATTTGAAGCTGCAAGAACTTCACATAATGAACTGCTTCTTCAAGCATTGTGCTAATGTCAACCTTTGTCCCATTTGGTACAATGTTTTGAAGGATTCTTAGTCTTTCATTAATTCTTTCTCTTCTTTTCTGTAAAATTGAAATTGAAACCCATATTAGTTTCAAAAGAAAATATACACATCAATTTTTTTTTGAAAAGATAAGTAACAAATACACATTTTAAAAAACTTACCCTTGCATAGATGCTTTGCGGATCAGTTGCAGCGCCTCTACCAGCTCTTGTTTTCGCAGTTAAGTTAATTGGTCCTTCATTTAAATCTTGAGAAACATTTGAATCGTCTTCGGAGCAACTAGAACTAAGACTTTGTGCAATATTCCCTTTTCCATTATTTTTGTTTGTAATTTTCTCATTGTTTTGATGTCTCTCTTCCGTTTCATCTTCATTGCTATTTGTAGCACTCATCATCTTCTGGTTCTTTAGTGGCGAATTCTTCTTGTTTTTCTGTTAAAACAATGGTTAAGTACACTTCATTGATCATTCTCTTCATTAAGAAACGTTAATCATGTAATTGAATACATCCAATTAACTCCACATTCTAAGAATAATCAGATGAAATACTGGATACTTACATTATCTCTTGCAACCCGAGTTTTCTTTTTGGGGTTTTCAAAATTTTCATTGTTGTCTCCATCTTGGAAAGTAGTGGGAAGTTCAAGCATTTCATATTTCCTCTTGATAACGGAGTGGTCCATTTTACCCTTCTCCATCTCCTCATCTTGTTTCAAACAAAGTATTTCTTCCATTATATCATCAGAAAACACCTTAGCTAGAAACAAGTAATTGCTACTGTCACCTTCCATCGTAGATAGATCCTTATTAGACTGATGGGACACATTATTTGTAGGTGTTTCAGAGTCGCAAAACTGGAAAATATCTTGGCATGGGTAGGGATGAGAATCTGTAGCATGGTTACTTTCTTGAGAAAAATAATTATAGAAAGTAGGTTTAAGATCATGATCAGAAGCATAGACTAAAATCTGATCATCAAGAACAGATGAATTAGAACTATTAGATTCATTGGCACTTGACCAAAGAATAGAAGGAGTTTCAAGGTCCAAACCATGATCATGTTCACCTGAGAACAACCCATGGCCTGCGAAATGACTGGAATCTTGATCACAAGAGAACATTGAGCTCAGATTCATCCATTCTTCATCAATACCATTTCCATAAGACGCCATTTTTTTTGTTTTGCTGTGCTTTTGATTTATGGGAGAATTTATGTTTGATATGTTCTCTCTTGGGAGAGTGTGTAGTGTGTTGACAACACGAATGTTTTTGATATGTGCTTGAGGATGATTGAAACGAGGAACATATTTATACCCTTTTAAAGTTGTGACCGAATGCTATCAGGATTGACTTGATTAATAAATCGAAAATAATTCAGTTATTGGTAGAAGAAGAACCATAATTTTATTTGTGTGTAGGAAATCAAGAGTCCACTGTGGGCCTAACCACCAACTAGTTTACAACTCCCAAGTCGGACCAATCATTTGATCGATTGAGATTAAAAAAAAAACCGTTCGCTATGTCCACTAATAAAAATTTCAAATTGTTAATATATAGTAACACAGTTGATTTTTCTTTGCCTCTTTTCCATGGTAAACTCTCAGAGCACTTGGCTCTGTAAAGGAGATTATAATCGCTTTATTTTATATTTGTCGTTTGCTAGATGATTCACGGATAAAATTCTATCAAGTTTAAGAAATTCTTAAGAATTAAGAATATTTATTTTAGCTAAATATTTAATTATTACGATTTGTTTATATATATATATATATATATATATATATATATATATATATATATATATATATATATATAT